CCTGTCCCTCTCCCCTTCTATCCCCCAACACTATGGTTACAGACATGCTGTGCCTGACTTTTTCCTGGGTGCTGGGGTTCTGAATCCAAGTCCTCATGTGTGCACAGCAAGCATTTTGCCCACTGAGCCATCTACATAGCTCCTTGAGAGTCCCACTGTCATTGCCTCTATTTAATGCAACACTAGACGTTTTGGCCAAGGCAAGTAAGCAAAAGAAATAAATAAAGGGCATTCACGTTGGAAAAATAAGACTAATTAGCCTTATTTGCAGATAGCATGATCACACACAGAGAGATAACCTAAAGAGTCCATAAAACTGTATCTAATAAACAAGTTCAGCAAACAAATTGCACAATACTAGTTGGGTACACGAAAAAAATCTCAGCAAAATTCCAGTAATAAACTGCCAGATAAAAATAAAAAGCTATCATTTTTACAATAGCAACAAAAAATGGAATACCTGGGAATAAATTTAGCCAGAACTGAAAGGTCTCTACAGTGAAAACTAGAATAAATAGATGAAATAAACTGAAGAAGATACAAATGACTACATGTTCACAAACTCAAACCAACATTGTTCAAATTTTCCTACTTCCAAAATGATCCACAGATTCAGTGCAACCCTTATCAAAATACCAATGACATCCCTTACAAAAATGAAAAACAGCACAAAAGACCCCCAAATAACCAAGACAATCTTGAGAGGAAAAAAAATCAGAAGCTGACTGTAAACTATCCCACAAAGCTGCAGCAAGCAAAGCAGCAGGAAACTGGCATAAATGGACACTAAGAAACACAGAATAAAGAACCCAGATTTAAAGCCATCCATTTATAGTCAGCTGATTTCATTCATTCATTCATTCATTCATTCATTCACCGTGTTGTGTGAGTGAACATGCACACACACACATACATGTGCAAAGGTCAGAACACAATGTCTGTGAGTCAACTCTCTTTCCACTGTATGTGACTCAGGAATCAAACTCAAGTCATCAGGCTTGACAACAAGCACTTTGGCCACTGAGCCATTTCACCAACCCCCAGTCAACTGGTGTTTTTGACAAAGATATCAAGAATGCACACTGGCCAACAGACAATCATTTTAGTATGTCATGCCAAAGAAAGTGTATCCACATACAGAAAACTGAAGCATGGGCAAAAATAAACCAAAAATGTAAAACCCAAAACAATGAAAATACTGAAAGATAACAAAAGATGAGTGTTTCATGATATTGGACTGGGCAGCAAAATTTTGAGCAAAGGTTCAAAAATACGAGCCGCTGCTAAAAGGAACACATGGAATTATGTCAGACAACAAAGCTTCTTCACAGGCAAGAAAATAATCAGAGGGACTGAGGAGATCACTGAGTATACAGAACTACACACATGAGGAAGGACTTCACTTTGATCTAGAATCCGCAATAGAAGTGGTAGTGATAGCCTGTGTTCCCTGAACTGGGGTGCAGAGATCGATGCCAGCTAGCCTAGCCGACTTAACAACTTCCAAGCCAATGAGAGATCTCCCGACACACTCATCTCAAAACTTTACAAAAGGGATGTGCAGTGCCTGAAGAACACACCTCAGGTTATCCTCTAAACTACACACACACACACACACACACACACACACACACACACACACACACACACACGTGAACACACAAACGATTGAATCAACAGAGTGAAGAGAAAAGCAATAGGAGAGAAACATTTCCTGCTTATATGAGGTATCCAAAATAATCAAAGTCATTGAATTCACAGTGGAATGGTGTTTGATTGGGTCTGGTGAAGGGAAAATGGGAGTTTTTAAATAAAATGCATCAAGTTTCAGCCAAACAACATAAAGAAAATCTAAATCTGGTATGTAATATTATATCTATTGTCAACAATGGGGTATCACACATTAAAATATGCAGATAAGATAGGTCTCAAAAACTCATGCGCATGTACAGAGAGGTGTGTGCAGTGTGTGTAGCACGTACAGAAATTCTACATGTGTACATGGAGGACAGAGGTCAACATCAGGTGTCTTATTCAACCACCCTACCTTATTTTTTGAGCCATGGTCTCTCATTAAAGCTGGAACTCATCACTTCAGCCCAACTGGCTGCCAGTGAACCCCCAAACCGCCTGTCTCTTCCCCGGACCTGGAGTTTCAGGCACAGGCAGCGATGCTTAGCTTTACATAGACACTGGGTAGCAGAACTCAAGTTCTCATGCTTGTATAGTATCCATTCCAAGCACTGAACTGACACTAAGGACTCTTCACACAATAAAGTAAAAAAAAGAAGAGGACTTTGGAAGGTAAACCAAAGTTTAAAATATTTGAAAATCAAAACAGTAAGTTAGTGAAAATCTATCAAAACAGAAACATTAGTAGACACGATTTGCAAAAATGTCTAATCCAATCCACAACAAACTATTTCAACTTCATGTGAAATGTTCCAGAGAAAGGGGGAATTGTAGGGAGAGACCCCGATACCTGTACAGGTTGGGTGTGGTCACAGGTACGTAGAAGGCGTGTGGGATAAAGGGCTGAGAGAGGGCACAGGAGCTCTTGGTTCCTGTCGGGTCACAGAGAGCAGCTGAGCTTGATCCTCGGAGCTGGAACTTGGGGTTATCGGTTTCTCATGTAAGTGACCTGTCCCCGAATAAAATCAACCTATATTATCCTAGTCCCAGGTACCTTAATCTGTTCATCCACATAGGGGTGACTCTTTCTCAATTCAGCAGACATACAATAATAGAATGTTATATGTTCAAATACAATAAAGACAGTGAGAGAATCACCAGCAGATCAAACTCAAAAACACGCACAAGTCTTCCATGTTACACTAGCACAAAGTTTAGTACTGTACAAAAAGATTACAGGTCCTAATCTAGGTGGTGGTGGCACACGCCTTTAATCCCATCATTTTTGAGGCAGAGGCAGGAGGTTCTTAGTGAGTTCTGAGACCAGCCTGATGTACAGAGTGAGTTCCAGGACAGCCAGGACTATTATACAGAGAAACCCTGTCTCAAAAAAAGGAAAAAAATAAGAGTAATATACAACATAAATAGTATTTTTATGTCAAAATCCAGGAAGATACCACTTATAATTACAACAAGATATGATGTTATAAGGCCTGCATGAGAAAACTGTCCCAGACCTTTCATCTTCCTTACATGATTTTTATTGTTTTTATGGATAGTTTATTGATTTTATCATTTACTTGGGAATTTCATGCATAGTTTGATCACAATCACTCTCCTTTAGCCAATTTGTCCCAGATCCAAGCCTGATCCCTTCCCACGCAACTTTGGAAATAGGATTATTTTTCCCTTCTAGGCCAATTTGTGCTACCTAAATATTCTCAGATGTATGGCCTTCTACTGTCTCATGGTCAAATTATAAGGAGTTACACTGTTAGAGAAAACTGACCCTTCTTCTTCCAGAACTAACCATTACAAATATCTCCAGGGCAAGGAATGGAATTCCATGTTCAGCTGCCCTGTCTATGTTGGAATTTGTTCTGGTTTAGGCTTATACATGTCCTGTGCATGAATCATTGTGAGTTCATATGTGCAGCTGCCTGTCTGGATCCAAATGACTCTCACTGTTCCTTGGGGTTACCCATCACCTCTGGCCATTATACTCTTTCTGCTCCATCTTCCACAATAATCCCTGGGCCTTTGAAGGAAGGAGTGTGATGTATATATTCATTTAAGAATGGGTATTCTGCAATCTCTTCTTCTCTGCACTGTGCCCAGTTGTGTGTCTTTGTTTGTGTGTATGGGGGAGGGGAAAGGTGTACTCATAGGCTATAAGAAAGCATAGGATCCCCATGAGGCTGGAGTTATAGGGGGTTGTAAGAAACCCCATATAGGAACCGAGAACTGAAGTGCTCTTAACCACTGAGCCATCTCTCCAGCCCCAGAAACCTTTCTTTAAAAAATATTATTAAATACCAAAATAAACAGAAAATTGGTCTATAGATTCAATGAAACTCAAAGCAATGTCCAGGGTAGATTTCTCAGAAATTCATCAAGCTAATTTTGAATTTTATGTGGAAAATGAAAATGCCTAATATAAGGTTCAAGAAATTAAGTATGGTGCCGGGCGGAGGTAGTGCACATCTTTAATCCTAGCACTCAGGAGGCAGGTGGATCTCTGTGAGTTCGAGACCAGCCTGGTCTACAAGAGCGAGTTCCAGGACAGACTCCAATGCTACACAGAGAAACCCTGTCTCAAAAAACCAAAAAAACAAAAAAGAAATTAAGTGTGGCTTTTGAATCAGGAATATATAATGTAACAAAACACACAAGTTCACATATATCACAAAATTATATGACTGTAACTGTTGGCAGCAGCTGAATAGAATGTAATGACTGAATAAAAGAGAAGTCTGAAACCATTAGAAAATTATTATTTCATAGTTCACCAAAAGAAACCAATGCCAAGTGGTTCCAGGTTGTAGAGGGGGGTCACTTTTTCCAAACTTAGAAAACACGTCGTGTCTTCATCGAGTATTGTAGCATTGTGCTTCAAACAAACTCCTAGCTGAGTATGAAAACATGGGCCTGTAATCCCAGTACTCAGGGGTCTCAGAGGGGGAGATCAGAAGGTCAAGGCCAGCATGGGCTACACAACAAGTTCCTGGACAAATCAAGGTAAACAGCCAGATCTTGTCTCCAAAAACTGTTAGTAGTAATAACAAAACTGCCAAACATTATGCCAACTTCAAACGAGGTGCCCACAGGTAAGTGATCAAGTACGTAACTTAACCTCTCTATCTGTTCAGTGTCAGTGAACCGTCAGTGATGATGACAAACACACCTACCTCCGGGACTCTGTGTCAGACTTGAAGGACATAGTCCATATGGATTACTTAAGTAGGCTATGGCAAGAAGGAAGCACTTCAGCCATCACTTCTAGACTGTTACTCCCCCCCTTCCTTCCTTCTAATGCACCAGGCCAGTTCTTCTCTGCTTCAGAAAACCACACCATGGGAAGGAAGCAATTCTTTTCAAATTCCTTGCTCTGATGATCCAGCCCTCCATAGTTAAGCATATGCATATGCTCTGGCCCCTAAGCTCATACTCTTTCTACATGAATATGGAACTCACTATCAGGGGTCTAATCAGCTTGGGACCTTTAGCTTCATGGCTGGGTACTCAAGCACTGAGCGTTCAACTCAACACATCGTGAATCCCAATCCTGGCCCTTGGAGGAGGTGGGCTCAGCCCTCCCACCAAACCAAACCTGAAGTATAAGAGCAGTAAACAGCTTCTACCTGCTACCTGCTCCACCATGAAGCCTGCTAAGCTGGAGTTTCTCCTAGGATTCTTCATCTTCTGCTCACTCATGGCCCCAGTGCTGAGTGGTGTTACCAGACTTACCAATAAGATCTGCAACAGATACAAAGGTATGGATAAAGTTAAAACAGAAGGTAAATTCCAAGGCCAATTATGAATGAGGGAGAAAGAAATGAAAACAATTCCACTGGGTGGGCCAGAAGGATCCTCTACTGTGGCAATGCCCCCCAACCTTCATTGCCTTAACTCAGGGCATGATTTACTTTGGGAGACTTGAGGGTGTCCAGTGAGGATAAACAATAAAACAATATAAAACAAAAAGGGTACAACTAAGTCCTTTCCAGACAGAGAATTCTTTTGTAGGAGGTCAAAGACTGGAAACATTCTGAGATATGGGGTTTTTAACATATTTCAAAGAGCTCAGACCTTCCAAGAGCATGCATTGAATGAGAGAGACAAATTTGGAGAGTGATGTAACTGAGACATATCTTGCATTTGGGCTCCGGGCATATAGAAAACACCTGAGCACACTGCACCTATACAGAAGAGTTCACAGTGTGGCTAGGACCCATAAATGAGACTTTCTCCCCAAGTCTAAGTGAAACAGTTTATACCTTGGTACAGATTCCATACTCTGGTCCTGTCATTAAGCAGATGTGTGCCTTTGGGCGTGACTCTGAGCCAATTATCATCTCCTCTGCCACCCCACTTTGCCCATCTGTAAAACAAAAAATTTGAAAATCAGAGAGTACTTGTGGCTATGAAATAAAATCAGGCATGTAAGTAGCCCTAGATAAGTAGTGATGCCAGAGGATAGATGACAGGCTGGCAGCTTGAGGAAGGAAGATGGGTAGTAAGCACTGGGCTATCAGTATGGCCACCAGTGTGACTATTTCAATCACTCATACCCACCACTTAGCCAATAAAAAAAGAAATGAGACAGCTGCTTCCTGGAAACCAAGAGAAGAAGTGAAGAACAGCAAGGTTTGAGGGTGAAAGACTATCACACCCCTGGTTCTGCATCCAGCTTTCAGAGCAACAGAAGACAGGATCACCCAAATTTTGAAATGTAGGTTGTAAAAAGAGTATGTCGAAAGTGGGAGGGGGCGTGTTTTGAATTTTGTGTCTTCCGGGGGCAGTTGAAAGGATAGGCAATGAGAGCATGGAGAAGCAGAATGCCGGGATACCCTGCAAGGTGTGCAGTGTAAGGAACCTTGTCACTTTACCCAAGCTAAGCCATTCACAAGCCAGTCCTTCCCCCAAATCACCACCCAGGGCCACAACCTGGAGATGTAAGCTGTTTTTGTTGGACAAAGATGGCTTTGCCATGTGACTCTACTTATAACAGAAAAGGCAGAAACCTCTCAGAGTCCTTGAGCAAAAATGTTTCCAAGCTAAAGGAAGGAATTTTTCTTTTAGCGTGTGTGTGAGTGCATGCATGTGTCTATACCTGCATGCATGCAATTATTTGTGCATGCATACTTATGAACCACAGCATGCATGTGACATCAGAGGACAACTGGAAGGAGTTGGTCCTCTCTTCCCACCATGTGGGTTCCAGAGAGATATCTCCAGTTGTCAGCACCCCTAAGCCACCTCACCACCCCAAGCAGGAATTGTTAAGGGCCTCTGAATAAAGACATCTTTCTCTAATTCTGCGGAAACTTCTCTTTCAGACATTTGTAACATGGACATGGAACCTGGCAGCTGCTATGAAGTACATTTTAGATACTTCTACAACAAAACTTCCCGCCAGTGCCAGAGCTTTATCTTCACAGGCTGCAATGGCAACCTTAACAACTTCGGTCTTAAGATAGAATGTGAAATCGAATGTGACCAACAGTACCGGACAGTACCGTAAGGGACCAATCTCATCTCTGATCTTTCAGGAGAATGGCAAGAAAAGATTCAACGGTAGAAAAAATTAGTCGAGGGCTTACCAGGTTTTAGGACGCAGAAAGGGAAGATGGTTCTGATAAAAGGTTCTAACAGGTAGGCTGGATCTCAGAGTAAATTGTTGGCTTTGGCCAGGTAGTGGTGGCGTATGCCTTAATCTCCACACTCGGGAGGCAAAGGTAGGCAGATCTCTGTGAGTTCGAGGCCAGCCTGGTCTACAAGAGCTAGTTCCAGGACAGCCTCCAGAGCCACAGAGAAACCCTGTCTCAAAAAATAAAGCAGCAACAAAAATTGTTGACTCTGCAATTAGAAAATTCAAATGTCCAGGGAGAAAATTTGTAGCTGCTGTCTACTAAACAATTTTTTGCTCCACTGCCAGGTATCCCTAAGCAATTGCCATATAATGATATACAAATTTATGTTAAAATAGCTTCACTAAGCCTCCGACTGTAAAAAGTGGCCGTCTTCAATCTGGAAGAATGAAGGGGAAAAAAGGAGAAAACTCCCCACTGAAAGCACAGAGAAGTTCCAGAAAGCCCCAGGAATCCACAAGGCAGCAGAGATCCAGAAGGCATCCCCAGGCCAGGCAGCACATGTTGGCCACAGCAAAGGTCAGTGCAAAGTACAGGCTTCAGCTGCAATGGGTTCGCAGCTCCCTGAGAAACTGGGCTTTGCCTCCCTGAGTCCCAAAGACAATGACTATTCTCAACCTTGATCAAGAGAAGCTTCTCTCTGCAGTAAAAGAATGTGGCTGCTCAGGGTGCTAAGAGATTAAGATACAGCTGAGTGCTTGCTCAGGCCTAGGGCACTAATACCGTCCCCTCTAGGAGGTGTAAGGGCTAAATGATGAGGAGCAGAATTGCAGAACACTATCTTCTGGGCAGGCACAGACGCTGCAATCACGGACTCAAGGCAGCTGCAGCTGCATACACTGCACCTTCAGAAACCTAAGCTGCAAACAGTCTGTCATGAATGAGTGATGAGTTCAGGGATCCTCTCCCCGAAAACAACTGACTATTGATGGGTACTGGTGAAGAACAGACATGGTCTTCAGTTGTATCCCCACTAGTGACATCAGGCTCCACACCCATGGTCACATGCATAGCCGCAAGTAAAATCAAAACAAAATGACATGAATTCAAGAAAGTGACCTTCAGGGGCCGTGGCAAGGAGATTGGAGTAAGCAGAATGAAAATAATCAGATATATATATACATATATATGAAATTGTCAAAGAACAAATTACTGAAAGGTTTGAAGAAATAAGAATAGATTAAAATAGCTGCATAGATATAGTTTAATAGTTATGGTTGAAAATTAAGACTGAGCTAGCAGATAAGAAATCCTAGTCATTGGCCAGCAGCATTGCACCTAAAAAAATAGTTGTATAATAGATTTGTGTTATTATTTTTACCTGATAGGTGAGGGAAATGAGCCCATTAGAAGTAACCAATTGTAGCCTGGTTGATGGTGGCACAGGCCTTTAATCCCAGCACTTGAGAGACAGAGGCAGGCAGATCTCTGTGAGTTCGAGACCTGCAGAGTAAGTTCTAGAACAGCCAGGGCTACACAAAAAGACTATGTCTCAAAACACACACACACACACACACACACACACACACACATCAAAAAAGTAAACAATTGCTCACTAAGTAGCATAGGAAGTTGTTTTTGGTTTTTGCCTTTTTTTTATCAGATCTGACCTTCATGAAGCTCTTGCCCTGCTTGTATTCACCAAAATCCCCAAATCAAATCTTTGCATTTTCAGGCCTTCTAACTCTCCAGCAAGACATGCTATTTCATACAGGCAAAGCCCCAGCCCACAACTATCCTATCCAGGCAGTGCTGTGACTGGTTTCCATAAAAGTGAGATGCAGAATGGCCTAGGGAGTGACTCAGAAGCACCAATTCTGTTTTTGCTCTTTCCTGATGCATCTTACAGAGGCTAGAACATGGATAGTGGTTATCATTGGATGAACGGAACAGATTAATGCAACATAAGGCTCACTGATAGGGAGGCCATTCTGTAGGATTGCCCCAAGACAGAAATGACTTGCACTAATCCAGGGAGACTCTTTTGTAACCTGCAGCGTGAATCTTGTTTTTCTACTGAAACAGAAAACCGGAAACAGAGACTGAACTTGAGAGTGTGTGTGTTCATTCATGGATGTTCTTGGATGGACCATCTGAGACAAAGATGCAAGAAGATGATTCAGTCCAATGTCAGATCTTTGGAAAGTGTCCATAGTTCTTGACACTTTGATTTACTATTTTCCTGTTCCTGATTTTGTCTTTCCTGAAAAATGACTATAATCATTAAAAATGAAAGACTCCTCCTGTGTGTCCTCTGTATTTTCATCCCAATGCCTTATCCAGAGAATGTCAGTGGGTTCCACACTTTAGGTCTCTAACTCTTGAGCAATTCCCCATCCATCCACACAATGCTGAAGCCATCCCTGTAGAGCTGACCAAACTGTAGAAATTGGTGCTGCCTGCCCTATGAAATCCAGTTGACCAATGCATCCACAGCAGCAAGCTCACGTTTGATTTTAGCCTTGAAATCAAATGCAGCACCGACCCTCACACTTACCTGGAATGTTACTTCCCTCAAACAAATCTTTGTCAGATATCCTGATTCATGTCCACCAATTCTCAAAGCCACTTCTTTAACTGATCTCTTAAGTTGTTCCCAGTTTACCGGCAATCATTTGGATAGCCTTGGGAGCTTGGTAATTAAAACTTGACTTGATTACAGTCAGCCTTCCCAGAAAAGGAAATCTTAACTTCAGTTTACTAGCTTTGTTTCACCTACCAAAAAAATTTTCATCCAGGGACAGACTCTCAAATCTAAATATAATGTGACTACCTATGGGCTGGCCACGATCTGCCCAGCTATAGCATCCTCAGGTTGACCATTTCGACGGTGAAGTTTCTTGGGTAATCAAGATGAATCTTCACTGAAGTAGAACTGTCCTCTGTCTCCTTATCCTGTCTAACTCCTCACCTAGAAATCACTTGTCAATCACCAGCATTAGAGACACTATACATCACTGAAAACCTGTAACAGAAAATGCAGCCTAAAGAATCACAACTTAGAAAGTTTTTTATGATTTATTTTTTTTACTTAACTGTTTATTTACGTGTGTGTGTGTGTGTGTGTGTGTGTGTGTGTGTGTGGGTGTGGCGCGCGCCCCTGGAGGCCAGAAAAGGGCATCCAAACCTGGAGTTGGAGTTACAGGCAGCTAGTAGAAAAACTCAGGTCATTTCCAAGAGCAGCAAGTGCTCTTATCCACTGAGCCACCTCTCTGCCACCACCACCCCATTTTTAAAATTTATTTTTGTTTTTACCTTGGTTCTTTGAATTTTTTTAAAGATTTATTTATGTTGCCAGGCATGGTGCTACATCCCTTTAATTCCACTACCTGAAGTCAGAGAGAGTAGGTAGATATCTGTGAGTTCAAGGCCAGTCTGGTCTACAAAGGGCTATACAATGAGACCTTGTACCAAAGCAGGAGGGGATATGTTATTTTATGTGGATGAGTGTTTTGCCTGCATGTACATATGTGCTCCCCATGTGTGTCTGGTGCCCACAGAGATCGGAAGAGGGCACTGGATCTCCTGAAACTGGAGTTACGGATAGTTGCTCCACATGTGTGTCTGGTGCCCACAGAGATCGGAAGAGGTCATTGGCTCTCCTGAAACTGGAGTTACGGATAGTAGCAAGCTGCCATGTGGGTGCTGGAAACTAAACCTAGGTTCTCAGAAAGAGCGTCTAGTGCTCCTAGCCATTGAGTCATCTCTTCAACCTTTTAAAGAAAACAAAATAAAGCAAATGATTTGAGAGCAGAAGAGATAAACCATCAGAAAACCAATTAAGACATAGGCATGAGGATAAAGACATTTTGGGTCAAATCATAGAACAATGATGCAATAATGAAAATATATGAACCAGAACTTCATAAGCAAGATAGATAAACATTAGAATTGTGATGCTGAGAAGAAAACCAGGTGTTCAAAAGAATAATCAGTAAATCTTTGAAAAAGTCAAGATACAGCTGGAGAGATGGCCCAGCAGTTAAAAATGCTTCCTGCTCTTGCAGAAGTCTGTAGTTTGGTCCCCAGCACCCAGGTCAGGCAGCTCACAATCCTCTGTAACTACAGCTTCAGGAAGTCAGATGCAGACTTCTGAACTCCTCAGATACCTGCACTCATTATGTACTCGCACACAGTCATACACATAATTGTTAAAACTCAAAAAAACTAATAAATACTTTCTATTTTACAAACCAATAGTTAAAATTACATTTATGACATAAAAAAATAGAATCCAAGTGTGGTGGTGCACATCTGTAACCCTACCAGGTCAGGTGATGCAAGAAGATTCAAGGGCAGCCTGTGCTACCAAATGAATTCTAGGCCACTCATGACCACATGAGAAATTTAAAGAATAGATTTAAAAAATAATAATGATAAAGCTGAGCTGAGACTAGCAGTGAACGCCCTTAATGCCAGCACTCAAGAGGCAAAGGAAGGCAGGTCTCTCTGAGTTTGAGGTCAGCCTGATCTATATAGTTCCAGGGATACATTGTGAGACCCTGCCCCAATTAAATAAACAAATAAATCTGGGTGCAGTTGTGCACACTAGCCCAGCTACTCTGCAGGCTGACACAGGAGGATGCTTTGAGTGCAAGATTTCCTCCTTTTCTTTCAGATTTCATTTTTAATTATGTGTGTCTGTATAGGTACCCATAGAAGCCAGAAGAGGGTACTGGATCCCCTGAAGCTGGTGACAGACGTTTGTGAGCCACCTGGCATGGGTGCTGGGAACTAAACTCTGAACCTCTGCTAGAGCAATTGCCAGGCATATCCAATGAGCCAATGCTCTAGACTCAAGTCCAAGACTTCAAGATTAGCTGAGACAGCATTATGAGATCAAGTATCAAAAAAGAGAGAGGGAAGGAGGGAG